CCGGTTCAAATCGAGCAGATTCTATTCATACAGACAGTAACACAATAGATAGCACATTTTTCAAAGATCTTGATCAAAAGATGGGTGAAAAATTACGTGCAACAATAACAAGACCTAACACAAGTGCTATGCTAGCAAGTTTACCGTCAGATACAGTATCAACATTGAGTAGTTATGATCCAATTGATGAACTTGATGCAATTATTGATAATGAAGATTTAGATTTAACATTTCATGATCCATTAGATGACTTTTATGAAGATAATGATATGCTTGAAGTAATGAATCCAAACATTAAATTACCAAGACCAAATGTTGACTCTAAACCAACTGGTCTTTTCTCGGTATAATCAATAATTATATAGTTCATACATTTATATTTATTATCTTTTTTTTTTAGTTTTTTTAAAGAAAAATAAAACCAATATGTTTCGTTCGGTGCTGGTCGCTTTATATTATTTATTAACTGGTGATTAAACGATCTTTATTTTTTGATTTATCTTAAAAAAATTTATATTATCTTGTATCTTTTTTTTTAATACTGTGAACCTGAATGTTTTTTTTTTTGTGTGGTCACAATAAATAAAATTTCTTAAAATTGATTTAAACAAGAAGAAGCAGTTAGATAGATCATATATCAAGTCAAGGTTTTTTACAAAATATTTATGCAGAATAAAAGAAGTCGAAATTCAACCTTATTCCTCAGTCAACTGTCACGTACATATGTTCATTTGATATATTTTACTTTGACAGAACGTAAAAGAAATGTTATGAATATGACTAGCAATCAATTTTTTTTGTTATATAAAAGAAAAGTTCAAACATAGAAGTATAAACGAAATTATATGTTCTAGAATATTATTTCCGGTCAATATAAAAATAATATTCCCTCATTAAGATTTCAATAGAAATAAAATTTAAATGCGTCAATGTATAGACATCGTTATGTAGTCATGACAAATAAACATGATAATATACAGAGAATTTCATAATTATTTTCATAGCGTTTGAAAAATAAGTATGACGAAAGAATATCATCTAATATTAGTCAGTAAATTATAAAATCATTGTTTTCGTGACTTTTAGTTGTTTTTACTATTTTAACAGTAAGCATTTGATTCATTCTTTTTTTCTAAATGTTTACTGTTGTGAAAGCTTATTCACTGAAAAACAATATTTCGAAATGTACGTCTTATTTTTTCACTATTTTTCTTTCCAAGTAAAATATGAGTCGTCAGTTCTAGCGAATAATCACTTTTTTTTAAAAACTACTTACAGTATATTTTGTTAATGTACTATTGTCTGTTATTGAATCAATTATTAACAAATATACTTTACCTCTTACATCCCATTACGAATTTTTTCTCCTATTGTTCTTTGTTCGTTTTTACTTTTTATAAATCAATCAGTCGGTAGTAGAATGTCTCGATAAATATCCTTTGGATGCACTTAGACATTTTTTTCTTTCTAAATTTCAATAAACCACACAACTGTATAGAATTTTTGTTCATATTTTATATTAATCAAGCTAATGATATTCGAACTATAGTTAATTATTGTTCGATGTTTTATTTATGATTAATCATTTGTATTCAAATTCTTTTTTCTCACTTCTTAATTTGTATGTTTCATTAAAAAGGAGAATGTTATTTTTTCTATGCACTTGTATACATAGGCATCGAAAAATAAATGGTGAAGTTATGTAAACTTTATCAAAAAGACGTAAAAAATATTTTTTTATCTTCGAAGAAATTTAACAGTAAAAATGTTTTTTTAGTATTGATATATGAATAAATAAATTTAGTGTGACATACATTGATGAAAATTATATATAATTATTTAATTTTTATTTGAAAACTATCGTCTACATCATAAGTAAAAAATTTCCTTTTCCTTTTAATTGAGTTTCAAATATGATTATTTTTCTCCCTAAAAAACATTTGATTTATTGAAGAAAAATATTGTTTTCATTGTATTCAGTGGCAAACACTTGAAACCTATTCAGTCTTATTCAAATAGAAGTTTTATATAGAAGAAAGAGTTCATTAACTGTTTCGTTTTTCGAATTTTGCAAAAGAAAAACTTTGATAAAAAAATATATTCGAAGGTAAATTTAGTTTCCTTCACAATATCATTGTCATCTATCAGCAATAGTATTGCATTTCATATGTAATTATATGTTAGATTATTGTTGTCAATTTATATACTTAAAACTTTCTCACACCTCTATCAAATTACGATATATGAATTGGTACTCTAGAAAAAAAAATATCGAAGTTGCATGAGATTTTTTTTTTTGCTACGATTGTTATTGTTATTGGTGTTGAATGTATTCATCTGGAATCATTTGTGTTGATTAGATTTTTTTTTTCGCTTCTTGCGTCTTGTACTTTTTTCATATGAAAAAAAAAGAAAGTTTTATTTTTCTACCATAATTGGATGAAACGCAAAAACAATCTTGTCATGATGGTAAGGTACTTCATTGGATAATTGTGAATGTTTATTTTGGTGATGAAAATGAAAATCGTTAATGCTTATGGATAGTTATATACGCATGATTCCATTTTCTTTTATACTATTTGCATATGCATTGGATTAACTGCAAACAACTCAATGAATTTATTACCTGTATTGCGCCATATCCCTCGATGATCGTGCTCTTCGAGACACAGTAGAGGTGCTCAAGGTTATAGCGTGACTATATATTGACTTAATATTCGAGAAGATTATACGTATAGGATATATGAATATGAATAACCAATCGATTTATCGTTAATATATAATTTTTAATTACAATTTTTCTTTTCTGTATACTCACCTACTCTCATAGCTGACTGAAAATTATATTTCAAGTGGACTGATTGATTAGTTTTACTGCAATTCTTCTCATGTATATTATTATACATATAGTAAAGTTTTTTTCTCCTAGCTTGTCAACACTTTAACATAAACTTAAATTGTATGTCGGCACAAGTGCGTGTAATAAAAGTTAGAGAACAGAATAAAAAAAATTTATCGATGATTGTTCAATCGACTTTTTAAAAGAATGAGAGAAAGAGTAACTAAATAATCTTCAGCGCTTTTTAGACTTCTCTTATGTCTATAATGATGTTCACTGGAAAGAATGAAGTTAATATAGGCTTCTATGAAAGAAAGTATTTATGTATTCAAAATATGATGAAAAAAAAACCTACTAAATAAACTTTGCATATAAATGTTCGTTCATTATAAGTTTCTTGATACATTCTACAAAAAAAAAAAACGATAAGATATACTTGAATTAAATAAGCATTTTATTTTACGATAGAATAAGTCAGACGAAATTTTATTCTTAATTTACAGTTATCTTTTATTCATTTAATATTTTTTTTTTGTATTCCTTCAAAGAAAATAAAACAGACATAGGACAAATCAAATGATGTATATCATGACTATCGAAAGAAAATATCCTAGATGATTAATGTTTAATGACAAAAAATCTCAATATTATGCATAGACAGAAGGAAATGAAGTATAAAAAACAAAATAGTAGTAAACTTTACTTTCGAATCAATGTCGAAGGTGTCAAGGGGATGTTTTCTCTCTCTCACTCTCTCTCTCTCTTCTTTTACCTCATTCTCTCCCAGTTTTACGTGAGGATCATATATGAAAGAGGAAGAGAAAGAGTCGCATATATTCGTTTATATTTTAATGGCACGACAGGTTTTCTAGAAACATATTTTACTCGAGGTTTGATAAACAGCATCGTCTACGACGATAAAAGTATGTGGGTGTGATTACATGCACACGTTTATGCATTCAAATCCAAATACACTCTTATGTACAAATCAGTCACAAAGAAACAAAATTAGTCACAGAATGAAGAAAAGTTTTTTTTTTGCCTCTTCCTCTCTTTCTTTCAACTTTTTTACTTTCAACTTGAATTCAACTAGTCGTTTTCATTCATTCATTCATTCAAATTCTGTTTTATTTGCTCTCACATTCTCTTTTTTCTTTTCTGTATTTTTTTCCGTTCATTTTTCTCATTGTTCTTTGATCTCTTTCGTAAATTTTTTTTTTCTGGCATACATACAAAATAATCATCATTCACCTCCTTTTTTTTTGCTATTCCATTGCATTATTTTCGATTACATCAGTTTCTCATAAATTATTTTCAATTGTTTTAGATTGTTGTTAGATTATGAACTTACAACATATCGTCGATTCAATACGACTACTAGTAGTCACTTATCTTATATCTTTGATCACAATTGTACCTTTACTAAATACTGTTGAAGGTAAGAACGCTTTACTATTTTATATGTAGATATATAATAAGAAGTTGTAAATTACGTATATATGATTATGTATACATACAATACAGTTTATTCTTCCAGCTATTTCTATTGTTTCTAAAATATATAAACATGTCTATATATACATTCGAAGTAAAAATTTCATAAGAATACTTTTCTAAGAGTAGTATTAGCAATGTTATTGAACTACTCATTGATCTAAGCCTTTTTCTTTTTAAAAGAACAACAAAGAATTAACTTTTTTGAATTTAAATCTTTTGTCAATTATATATTATAATACTTAGGTTCACACGTCAAAACTTATGGTTGGTCAAATGCATATAATCCATTTCTTTACTCAGACTTAACAGGAACAATACGAGAATTAACATCGAACGATATTAGTGATGATACGGATAAACGTTTTCAGCCACCATTGGATATAGATAATGAAAATATACAACCAGTTGATGAAGGTTATCGTTTAGCAAGTACTGATAATATTGTTCCTGCACGATCGGTATCAATT